ATAGAGCGTCGGCCTGCTGACCGACGGGTCCCGGATTCGATTCCAGTCAAGGGCATGTACCTTGGTTGTGGGCACATCCCCAGTGGGAGGCGTGCAGGAGGCAGCTGATCGATGTTTCTCTCTTATCGATGTTTCTAGCTCTCTATCCCTCTCCTTTCCTCTCTGTAAAAAAACCAATAAAATATATTTTTAAAAAATAAAAATAAACAGGCCATCAGGTCCTCCCGATTGTTATAAACATTCTGGGCCACCTCAACCAACTCAGAGATTGATTTCCCCTTCAAAGCCATCTAACTTCTGCATTTTTTTCCTAACATCTGGGGCTGACTGGGAAACAAATGCAACATTGACAGCCCTCCGGTTTTTTGGGGCTCAGGGTCAATGTGGTATCCACCCGATAGGCCTTGCACAGCCTCTCGTGGAAAGCTGGCAGGCTCTCCTTAGGCCCCTGGACTGTGTCTGTCACCTTAGAGAGGTTTGTGGGTCTCCAAGCAGCAGCTCAGATGCCCCTCAATAGTGTCTGGCTATACCAATCGAGAGCCTCCTTTCCCCTGTCACTATTGGGGTTCCAGTCGGGTCACCTGGAGGGAAACACAGCCTCTAATCTGGCTTGGTCAGATGTAGGCTGTCCATCTGGACCCAGAACAAGTTTCCTCCCTTCCGCCTTGACCCCCCTCTCTTCTGAAGTGAAAAGGGTTTGCAGCAGCTGCTCAATCATCAAATCATGGACTCCAAAAGAGAGATTAACCCCTGTGGGTTCTGGGAGAAAGAAAGACCCCACCCCTCCAACTGCACAGGCCACCAGTAGAAAAGGGGACACAGACCACAAGGGCTGACCGTCTGGACCCAGGCCTGGAGGGCCCACCTTCAACAGTGGCAACACAGGAGCCACAGGACCAGTGGACGCTGCAGGGCCCCACCGGCCCTTCCCCTTCCTGCCTCCACACGCAGTCCCCGCTCAGTGTGAGGAGGGGAGAATGGAGCCGGGTCCTGGACTGGTGTTTCTGGAGGAAAGGAAACCAGCTGTGGAGGAGGCAGGGGCTCCAGATCGGGGTCATTTGCCACCTTCGGACTGGTGGGTGAGGGAGGCCTGACCCCGGGGACTGCCTCCTCACCCGGACCTTGTGGAACAGCGGGATTTTATTTCTTCTGGTCCAAAGCCAAGAGGACTATGTGTCTCTGTCCCAATTTCGTTTCCTTATTCTGACAACTCTTTAACCACCTTGGTTTTTCAGTCAAAATATCGACCCATACTTGTATATAGGGAATTTGGTTGGGGTGACCCGGCCAGCCATAGACAACATGGTGAACCCGAAAAGCAGTGGATAAATCTTAAGTCCCATTTAACAGATGGTTACTCTCTATTGTCTTTTTGCATCTAGGATAACGTACCTTTGGATTTTCAGGGAAACTTCTTTTTTTTACAGACTCCTCAGGGCACAATCTCCCAACGCAGAAGACCACAGAGCCCTAATTATTATTGTTACTGTGTTAAATACTAAGTGTTAACTATTTGATAACATTTAAAAATAAGTTTGTGTCTTTTTTTTTTTTTACTTTTTATCCAATCCCAGAGATTTCCCTCTTCAGTCCCCCACTCCCTAATTTATCACCAGGAGATTTCATGTAACCTCCTTATGTCTTCTCCTTTGAGTCTAATGTATAAAAAAGGTGCATGCCCTAGCTGGTTTGGCTCAGCGGATAGAGTGTCAGACTGAAGACGGAAGGGTCTCCGGGTTCAATTCTCGACAAGGGCATGGTCAAGGGCATGTACCTCAGTTTCAGGCTCCTTCCTGACTGGGCCCTGGTCAGGGCACATGCAGGAGGCAACCAATTGATGTGTCTCTCTCACATCCATGTTTCTCTCGGTCTTTCCCTCTCTCTTCCACCTTCCCTAAAAAATCAATGGGAGCCGAAGCCGGTTTGGCTCAGTGGATAGAGCATCAGCCTGCGGACTGAGGGGTCCCAGGTTTGATTCTAGTCGGGGGCATGTGCCTGGGTTGCGGGCACACCCCCAGTAGGGGATGTGCAGGAGGCAGCTGATCGATGTTTCTCTCTCATCGATGTTTCTGGCTCTCTATCTCTCTTCCTTCCTCCCTGTAAAAAATCAATAAAATATATTTTTTAAAAAATCAATGGGAAAATATCCTCGGGTGAGGATTTACCAAAAATAGAAAAAAAGGTGCAAAACTGCCATTATCTGGAGCATTACTCAGTTTATTGTTATTTTGTGTCCTGACATTTGTCCCTGTGTTGGGTCAGATAAACTTAGAAAAATTCTCTACAAGTTGGATGTTTTTTGCTTCCATGTCTCTGGATCCACTCCATTCGTCAGTTAATTTTGTTAATTAGATTCCATATATGAGTGGGATGAAGTGATACTTGTCTTTCTCTGACTGACTTTTTTCACTTAGCACGATGCTCTCCAGGTCCCTCCACGCTGTCTGAGATGGTAAGAGATTCTTCTTTTTTACTGCTGCATAGTATTCCATAGTATAAATGTACCACAGCTTTTTTATCCCCTTATCTATTAATGGGCACTGGGCTGTTTCCAGATCTTAATTATTGTTAATTGTGCTGCTATGAACATAGCAGTGCATACAGTCTTTCTGATTGTTGTTTCAGGTTTCTTAGGATATATTCCTAGAAGTGAGATCACAGGGTCAAAGGGCAATTCCATATTTAATTTTTTCAGGAAACTCCCTATGTTTTCCATTATGTCTGCACCAGTTTGCATTCCCACCAGCAGTGTACTAGGGTTCCCTTTTTTCCACATTCTCACCAGCACTTGTCATTTGTTCATGATTGTCATTCTTACAGTGGTGGGGTGATACCTAATTGTTGCTTTAATTTGCATCTCTCTGATGATCAGTGACTTTGAGCATTTTTTCACATGTCTCTTGGCCATCTTATCCACACTGCAGCCCAAGCAGAGCTGACACTTCCGGTGGCATCAGACGCAGATGCTCTTAAGTATGAGTGTCTTTTTTGTTAAGTTAACTTTGTACAGTGGATTCAATGGAGGCAGGTTAGAATTCGTTAGAAACTTGAACAACCTCCCCCAGCTACATTTGGCCTGAAAGGAGACACTTCCCTAGTGTCCTGAATGAAGAAACAGTGCCTGTCATTCAGGAAGAGCAGGTCCTGTAGAAAGATATGCAAAACCAGCCACAGCAGGTGCACAAGAAACAAACTAGCCCTAGAAATCTCCTCCCCTGAAAGCGCTGGAGGGGCCTGAGTATACTTGGTGTTTTCTTGGGTTATTTGTCCCCAAAACCGGTCCTGGAGTCAGCTGAGGAAATACAGGATCCTGGCTTTGGAGCCTAGGAACTACATTACCCAGAAGGCCTTGTATGGAATGCCACCAGGCTGAGCCAATGGGAGCTCAGAGAAGGCGTTTCCATTCTCCCGTTTGTGGGCGGAGCTGTAGTCCTCCAGGCGGGATTTTGTCTTCTCTCCGTTTTGTCTCAGGCGGTCAGGAGTTCCTGGTCTCAGAGTCCCGTGGAGAAGGCTGGAGAGCGGTCCTTTCCGCCTCACAGCCCGTGGTCGGAGCCTCCAATGGTGCTCACAGCTCGCACATGGGATTGAAAGTCAGAGTCGCCACCTCACACGCGTCTGGGCCGGGACAGTGACCGCCATTCCCTCAGCGGCTTCTACTCCCGCCGCTCCCGCTCTGCTGTGCCCACAGAGTGCAATGGCGGCGCCCGTGTGGAGGCGCGGGGCTGCGGTGAGTTTATATCCCCCGGGTCCTCACCGCCTCCTTATACCTAACAGCACAGCCTGGGGAGGGCGCCTGTCCCGTCCTGCAGCTCAGTCCCGCGTGGAGGACCGTGAGGAAGGCGGAGGGGAGAGAGGAGTGTTGTGGCTTCTGAGGACACAGCAAGTGCAGGGCAGAGAGGACGGGGTGACTTGCATCTGAAG